TCGAACAAAAAAAAAACTTTAATGGACGGTTCTGACCTGACGCTACGCCTTGGGGATGTAAACTTTTTTAGATTGGTCAATGGAAGATGGTAAATCAAGTGTGGTGGCGAATTAAGAAAATGGAGTGTGTGTTATTCATCACGTGCGTGTCGTAGAAGCCGACCAAGAGGGCAAACTACGCAGGACAACAGCACTGCAGAGAGAAGGAAAACTTGCACCAACCCAAAAACTCCTTTCTAAGGAGAGCCTTATGTCCAGCTGTGGACTATTAAAGGCTGTTGATGTCATGATCTGATGTGAAATCAAGTTAAGAAAAACGAATAGTGTGGAAGTTAATGCAAGGAATAGACTACAGAACTGAGACTGCAGTAGATTGAATCCTGACCCGTGGTTAAAGAAACCTCAAAGACAGGATTATAAACAGGGTAATCTTTCTTATTTTCGGTTGTCACTTAACATTTGATGATAGCGATCGAAATATTAAAGAAACGAAACAGCAACAATTTACTAGAGACAAGTAGAATCTGGCACTCTTCCTCTTCCTTTAATAACAAGTACAAACAATAACATCACATGCCCGATTATTCGAAATATTAATATTACCAAATAATATTAATTCGCTTTTGTATAAACTAGCTGACCCTGCAAACGTTGTTATGTTATTTACATTATTTAAATTTTTTTTTTTTTTTAATTTCTTAATATCCGTTCTTAGCTGACCTCTACTCGGTGAAAAGAATATTCCTACCAAATTTCAAGTCTTTAGCTCTAATAGTTCCAGAGATATCGTGATGAGTGACTATATACGTGCAAATCTATTTATAGATATGCGATTGTGTTAAGTAGCTGTCCAAGCTCATTAATCTTTTCACAATTAATAAATTACAGTATAATTCTGTGCCAGATCTTTGGTATTTTTAAGATTAATTAATTTAGAATTTATCCTGTTGTTCTTCAGAATACATAGCATAAATTTTGAATTTTAGTGCGTAGTCATAGCTAAAGAATTTGGGGCCAAGTAAATTTAAACATTTTATATAATGTTACGTTTATAAATATACTTTTAATCGTTTTAAAGGGTTTTGGTATGTAAATGATTAGTTGATACTGAGGTATGCAGCATGATGGTATTGTTTAGGAACATTTTACATAGCGCTTTCTACACCCAAATTAAGCAAGACAATAATCTTATCGTACAAGCAATGGCTTATACTGGTTTCTATTATATTGATAAACATGCTACTCGTAAGACATTATTTTGTAAACACATCTAGACTTTCTTGCTGAACGCTTGCTTCAGTTACTAAAGGTCGTGTCTGTTTTGATACTTCCTCGTGTATTTTTTCGCTAGATTCCTACATCTCACTCTGTCTTTATTTATTTAAACTTAATGTTTATTTAAACTTAATGTTGTCCAAAGGTGGACTTAATGCCATGGGGCAATTTCTCCCAGTCAACCTTCAGGTGATGTAGAAATATAATACGGCAGGTGCAAAATATTAAATTTGTCATACTATTTATAGCGGGTTTGATACGGAGATAACCTAGCTGTCTACGCTTAGCTAGACCGGTGCAAATAACTAATATTCATCACATTAACAACCTTTAATAGTTCACTGCTGGACATGGCCTCTCCTTACAAAGGTTTTGGCCTACTATACCACGCTGGCCAGACGGGTTGGCATAGGGTTTTTGTCAAGTTTTCCTTCTCTTCTCTTTGCAGTGCTGTTGTCCTGTGTAGTTTGCTCCTTTCGTCGGCTCTTACGACACCCACGGGATGAATAGGGGTGTCAACACTCCGTGTTCTTAATCCGTCACCACACTGATACTAAATAACCATTACTGCGTACAAATATTTCCATTTAGCGAGAATCGAACCTGACTATATAATATGCAGATAATTACCCCAACAATTCATACAATGCCATATTTAAAAAAGTTGACAATATAAGTAGATAATTGTTTGTTAACCAATAAGAGGTCAAGGAATTTTTTTTAAAGAAAATTTTGCATTTGAAACATAGACCTTTATTAAACAAGTTATAAAGCTCAGTATTTTCAAAGGATCTAAGACATAAAGAATATCAATCAAATCATCATCTTTGTACTTAATAAAAATGTTGAAATAGTTTATTTACGCTTCACCGATTAAGTTTAAATTTTGACACGATATACAACAGGTTAAGCTAGTAACTTATAATAATCTGTCTCTTATAATAATTATAAGTTATGATGATAAAGGATTGTTGTTAGTTATGTAATAAAATCACTGCTTAAAGATTTGTTTTATTTATTTATTATACAAGTTACATACATACAGACAACCAGACACACACAACTACATCTTAAACAAAATTATTTACAATTTGCAAATTAAAAAATATACTAATTCTAATAGTATACTAAATGCACAGGAATGTCAAATTCTTACTAAAAATATACAGACAATACTAATTTAGACATATGAGACTATTTACCCGACTGTGGTAAAGTAATATTTATATTGTGTTATTTTATAAATAAAGGTGGGTGTTGTTATTTATTATCTGTTATGAAGAAAATAAATATATTAATAGACTTACGACTAGACAGGTACTATGCAGTGAATACTGTCAAAATGTTGTATTTATTATATGAAATTTATAATTATTATTATTAATAAATTAGTAAGTAGTGTTACGCCGTGAAGCTATTTCATTGGAGATTTTTTTAAATGTGGAATCAATTGGAATTTGACATTTGGACTAAGCGTTCAAATGAACGTTTATTTTATAATAAATTATGTTTATTTTATACTTTTAGCGTCGTTTTAATAAATTTCAATAAGTATAAAAATGAGAAGTTGTTTTGTTTTTAAAATGAACATATTTTTTAAAAATTGAATTAAAGGTATCACTGGTTTCATTATAACTAACTTACATTTAATTACAATGAAAATGTAATCTTATGAGACTCATTTTTTATTTATTGATAAAGAGTATTATGTTTAAGATTTAGTGGTTTAGTATACTATAATATAATTTATTCTTTTTAATTAAAAAAAAGATAAATTATTTTAGGTTATACTTATTTGTATTCTTTACATTTCTCGCAACATTTCTGTTATTAATATATAAATCTTCAAATCACAAAATAAAGCTATTATTCAACTATTGCGTCAGAGAAATAAAAACCCAATCAATATTACGTGACGAACAAATAAAATCGGTCATAATTAAATTTCTCCAAGTTTACGAGGGGACACCCCCTGGCGGTAACACAGGGGACTTTCAACAATGACTGAGTAACTCCATTTGTCAATGTAAACAAATGATTCTACAAAGGGGAAGTAAAATATGATGCTTCTAACAAAACATTTTTAAACATCCCTCCTTCATTGCCGAAGGGGATTGAAGATGAAAGGACTCTATAAGAATTGTTTATCAAAATGAAATTTTGTTTATTTACAGTCCATAGTTGAAAGTAAAATTATGTCGCGTTTGCTTGTATCAGCTCATTATTTGTTCATTTATTTTAATTTGAAATTTATTTTATGTTAATTATACATGTCAAGTTTTCATTTATAATTCGTATCACATCAAACTAGAAGATAAACAAAAAGGGTAATGTATTTTAAACAATAAATTGCAATGTATTTTTGTTATTTTCGTCCCATCTCCTCTTTTCAGATGAGTAATTTCTGTATCGATGAGATTACAGTTTTTATTGAGAATTGAAAAAGAAGTTTAGAATTATGTTAGCAATAGACGGAATAATTTAAAACAATTACATAATTATATCAATCACAATTTCTTATAAAGATGTTAGGGGATAGTTATCAGATCTATATTCCAGAAGCCAAACTTACAAACTTTAAAATGCATACGAAGATTTTAAATTTTAAAGTCCAAATAAGATTTTTTCTAATCTAACATTCTTTCTCTATTTACAATTGATCACTCATTTCCCATTACAATTCGAACTTATATAATTTAGAATACAATTTCAATTCTAAAGCCTACTACTAATTCAAAGTTTGTTCTATTTGCTAGAAAAAATCTACGAAACACGTAGTATATTTCATCAGCTATATAACTCAGATATGAAGTCCATTCAGAAATCCTAAATTCGGAAACTGAAATATAATCATTATGAATATCATTATGTCTTAATTTCGAATATTTTGTTAATAATTTAAGACTTCTCTTTGAGCATCTTTTAAATTTCACTCAAATACCTTAAAAACACTCGCGTCACATAAGACATATATTTTACTCGTATACATATATATTCTCTAAAGTTACGGAAATTTATCATCAGAAATTTTAGAGTCCATGACCTGTTAAGTCATGGACTACACTCTTACATGAAAATAATAATAATATCTTCTAGAAGATAATTAAATGTGAAGGTTGTTACTACTTTTTTTTACGATTGTTAAAACTCAATGGTTTTCTAATCCCCCTTGAAAATACATACGTATTTGGATTTGTTTCTGGTACTAACCAGCTCAAATCCTAGTATATATATGGATCGCCGTAAGCGAAAAAGTAACAATACACAAGTAACCTTTCCTTGAATGCATTAAGGGACGATCCATTTTGCACTCTATGATATTGAATGTAAGTCGCTTTTTAGTCATCGTTCAGTACACAAATACTACATATTTAATACTCCGCGCAATATTATTAAATGTCTAAATTCTTGAGGCTAACAATTCACAAAGGACCTAATTCTTTATAAGCTGAGTTCTGAGGAATTCCTTTGACTCTACAAACACTAACCTACTCAAAATTCTAACTTTGAACCGTAGGAATTTCACAAGTAACGTTTGAAACATTAATTTGTACTAGCTTTTGAAGATTTTCAAGCATCTACAAAATGAAAATTACACTTTTGAGACATGTGAAGGTATTTCAAACTTTCCTTTCAAACGTTCAACAATTATCTTCTAATACACAATTTCATCACTTCAGTAATGTCTGTGGCACAAGTAAGCTCTTCGCTTACACTGCTGCTAGCTAGGGCACCACCACTCTGGGTTCTCTGTCAGAAAGCAACCGCCTCACCGACTGGTGGTTGTTGCCATCACTGCTCGAGATATCGCTGGTGCTCACCACTGCGGGCTGTGAGAAGTTCTTGCACAGGACTAGCACCTGTAAGAAAATTAAACCATTAATGGGATCATACTTTAAATAAATTAAATACTATAAAAAAATCATTTATATAAAGTCGGCTTTTAAAGCAAACCTTTAGCAGTCGACAGAATTAAAACATTCGACAGCGGTTTCCGATTTACATGTTCCTGTTGCTGCAAATCTCGGTAAACAAACCAGGGAAGAGTACGGGTACCTTCCCTCTCACTCTTGCCAACAGCCTGCAAACCGCTTGACCTGATAATTTAAGAGGCGGATTCCCTCTCCCGATTTATATTTTTCTCTCAATTTTATTAAAAGAGAATTAGTTGATCTATTTTCACTAACGCTTACCGTATATAGAACGGTCAGAACTCCCATAACCGCCCCAGCGAGCACATCCCACCAGTGGTGCCGGTGGTCTGTGAGCCGGCTCAGGCTGCACACACACGCGTACACTACACACAACACTTGCAGGAGAGGCACCACCAGGACTGATCGGTTGTGCCAGCTGAAGGCCTTTCTTTGGAGATACCACTGAAAATAAACGTTAGATTAATAAAAGCCGTTTACATGTTTTCCTTTTTTTATAATACACAAGTGACAAACAATGCCAGAAATGATTTATATATATAACTAGCTGACCCGGCAAACGTTGTTTTGCCAGATACATTATTTTAAATTTTTTTGTGAAAAATAATAATAGTGGTATGAAAAATAGATGATGGCCAATTCTCAGACCTACCCGTTATGCACACAAAATTTCACGAAAACCGGTCGAGCCGTTTCGGAGGAGTTCAAACACGCACACCGTGACACGAGAATTGAAATATTAGATAATATATAAATCAGCAGGAAATAATTAATCTAAAATGTGAAAACTTCATTAGTCTAATTTTGATAGCTTTATCTTATAACTGAAATAAGATGATCAACCTTATATAGGATAATAATCTTTCTTTAAAAGATCATCATTTCTTTCGATCTCATGGTAAACAATTATTGGTCTATTTTTATCTCCTTGATACTCTAAGAAAGCTTTGGTGAATTGAGTTATTTGTAAAGATTTCAATAAACTACATACGAGTACTACGTAGGTAAATTCAAGTCATTTCATTCTTTTATGTTCTTTGTTCGTCGTCATCTTCTTGACAAGCTTTTTAGATATTAAAAAATGAGTTTTGGTATTATTAATGAATTACAAGCGAATTGCAACTTATCGATATGGCTGTTATCTATACTAATATTATAAAGCTGCAGAGTTTGTTTGTTTGTTTGTTTGTTTGAACGCGCTAATCTCAGGAACTACTGGTCCGATTTGAAAAATCTTTCAGTGTTAGATAGCCCATTTATCGAGGAAGGCTATAGGCTATATATCATCACGCTAAGACCAATAGGAGCGGAGCACCAATGAAGAATGTTTCAAAAACGGAGAAAATTTATTACTATTGAGAGACGCAGACGAAGTTGCGCGGGTCAGCTAGTGAATGATAGGTGGTCTCTACTCTAGAATTTTGTGGTAAGGGTCAATACGTACTGCTAAAAATAATCCACAATACACGGAGAGTGATGCGTGCGCGGAAGGGAAGCTGCGGCTGGAGTCAGTCTGCAGGTACCCCGCGTATTGTTTAGAAGTACAGGTGTAGCTGCTCACGTACTCTGAACTGTTGGAGAGAGAAATAGGTTACAACCACTTAAAACAAGAAGTGTGAAAAGTAAATAATGTTAATTTATTTTATTTGTTAAAAATGAGATGTTGCTGGACAGAAATCACGCTGAGCAATGATATCAACAGGTTTAAGTGTGTCTGTAAGAATTTCTTTTTCGGAAGTTTTTGGAAGGACATATTTTTTTGATTAAAAAAATCTGACAGTTACGATACGATACCGTTCGTTCTGATCTGTTAACAAATTTCTTGACAGTATCTTAAACGATTCAATTAGACCAGATGGCGTAGTGGTTTGTGTAACGGACTGCTATTCCAAAGGTCGCGGGTTCGATTCCCGATCAAGTCAAGCAGTTGTGTGCATGAACATTTAATATTTGATTTAGTCTGGGTGTTTCTATGTTTAATTTGTGTGTATTTACAAAAAAAAAGTAAATATGTGTTTATATCAGTTGCATAGTTTGGGACTAGATGGAGTTGTGTGAATGTGGTAGAATACTGTTGTTATTATATTATGAATAAAAAAAGTGTTTGTTGCTTTATGGACCTCGAACCAAATACATTTTGCCATTATCAGCCAAGAATTTTGATTGTGCGCTGTAACATCAATAGTTGTATTTTCATCATCATCATCATCTATTTTATGATCATTCTCGCTAGTGCCACTAGACAATCTTATGGGAGAAAAATCAAAGATTTAATTACCTGTCGGCAGACAGGCAGTATTAAATACTTACCCGTTACAAGTGCTAGCTTTGTCCGGCTTGCACAAATCAAAGAAAGTAGGCCTAGGAGAGCCTGCCGCGCACTTGACAATCTCGAGTATCGTCAAGTTGACGATGGACCCGTAGATATAGTCCCTGTATATTAGAGCTGCCACCTTGGCGCTGGTCATGTACTTGCTCTTCTTCAAGTTGTATTCATCTTCTTGTTGAAGAGTGGTTTCCACTGCCCACAACTGAAATGAATGTTTTCATACAGTATTGCTTATTGAAGGTTTGTTTTTAAGATTTGATACGATTTTGGATGGATTTTTATTTCGAATTTCTCATAGTTTAGTACCGGTTATCCTTGATCAGGAACTAAATTCCAGTTTATTTATTTTCAAGTCGGAGATTCATTTTGAAACTAGCAGTATTATATGTAGAAAATTAAATACAGTGCCGTTGATAAACTTAGAACAAAGAGGTTATAAATACTGTAACTTGTATAGGCTTGAGCCATGCTTCGGCACGAATGGGCCGGCTTGACCGGAGTGATACATAGAAAACCGGTATTAAGCAATTCATTCATTGCGTTTCACTGAGTGAGTGAGGTTACCGGAGCCCAAATCCCCGCTAACTCGAGCGGAAGGGAATCCAAGGGCGGCAACGGACTTGTGACTTTTGAGTTACAGGTGCCCGCCCATCACGTGACCCATATGATCGTTAGCCCCCTTATACCATAAAAAAAACCTACAACAAGATGGATAATAATTCCATTCTATTAACGACGCAATTGCAACGAGCAACCTGTTTAATATGTTAACACTCTAAACGGCTAGAAAGACGGCTTACAATAGTGTGTAAATTATTTTTCAATGCATACTCCACATTTTATTTCTCAAGTATCAAATAAATTAGATATCGTGCTGATTAGCATCTAAACTCCATTACAAATGATGTTAAACAAGATTCCAAATAGATGTAAATTTTACAATGTCTTAATAAGAGATTGTTATGTATTTGCATACAAACAGTTATCTTTACATATCAAATTACTTTCTCCGACTGATTTATCAAAAAAGAGCTTAAATTTTCTTTTACTTCACACATCAATGTCTAGTGCACCTGGTAGATGTGAAGAAAATGCCTGTAGCTTTAAGCCCGCCATTTTACAACTCATATTTGTGCATAAACAATTAAAATAAATGAAATTAATACACCGCTAAGGCTCCAAGCTTGAAATTTTTACAGCTGATGCTTTTTTGGGTGTAAGCACCCTATAAGACAGGATTTTTGAAAATTTCACCCCTACGGGAGTAAAAAAAAAAGGTGAACGGTTGAATGATAGTTCATCATTTTCGAAGTAAGAATATTACGTGAATAAGAAATAATCGATCTAAGTGACGTGCAATGGGAGAGGCCTATGTCCAGCAGTGGACTGCGATAGGCTGATGATGAAGAAAAAATCACGCAAGCGAACCTGCATGAAATAGCTATTCTTGAATATTTGAATATTTGCTTATTCTTTTTATCCCAGAAAACATCCTTTAAGGGGGTGGAAAGGGGGGTGGAAGTTTGTATGGGAAATAAATAACCGCTCATCCGATTTAGATGAAATTTGGTATGAAGATACTTTGATTCTTGAGGAAAGTCATAGGCTTCTTTATACCGCGATAACCGGCGGGATATTTTATACCCTATGATATTAGCGACGAGTAAGTCCCGATTTACTTTTCCAATATTGTGAGTATTATTATTATAATCGTAGATCGTAAATCGAGCGATGTGATACTAGATCTATTTAGTCTGAATAGCAATCTCAACACTAATATTAAGGCGAGAATATGAAAATGGGTACCTAGTCTATCCATCTTACGTCGAAACATGACATAACACCTTGTCATAAAACACAAAGTTGAACAAAACGCACTGTTCACTACGACATCCTGCATTAGGGCCATTGCGGTCGAGATTAAAATCTATTCCGATAAAGATTTTATGCACTTTGCTATGCATATTAATTTTATTTTATTGTTTATCGATTTACTTGGGTTCGAAATGCTTGATTACAAGAACAGTGCTTTAGGATGTACTTGGTGTAACTGTTGTTTTATTAATAAAAACTGGGACATCTTAGAGACTTAGAGACTACTATATTTAAAATGATTACCTAATTGATCCCTATTTTTAGAGACCTAACTCAATACAGTTGCCAATATGTGGTTACTGTATTAAATTAGTATAAAATATAACTGAATACGTGGTGTTATTTTCTACATGGAAATCTCATTGTTATTAAATAATATACATAAATGACTAGCTTTTACCTTCAGCTTCGCTTGGTTCAGGGAACAAAAAGAGATTTCTAAAGACTAACAGAACATAACGTGAACTTCAGGTAAGCTTAAACAATACTAATTAACTAACTTACACACACAGCGATTTAGAAAATCGTAGCAAGAAAGTTTATGGTCACTATTTCGCTTCTAAGGATCGTAGAGTGACAAGAAAATAAAAAAAGGTTTTGAAATGCGACTGTTAGTTCCAGAAATAAGCATATTCAAATGAAAACACAGTCCCAGCTGTAGTATATTAGTATAGATAGATAGATAGTGGCCAGCTGATGTCTCTGGATCTTCTCTCTCAGTCTTGTTTCTTATTCCAGATATACAGTATCTCATACCTTAACATTGCCCTGGAAGGAGGCCGGTCACAAAAGAAACAAGTCCAAAACTTTTGTACACATTACATGGACGTCAAAAAAGCAAAGAAAAAGCAGTAAGATTATGAGGATAATGACATATATTCCACAAATCCGAAGTTTTACACACTTCTCCTTTTTTTTTTCGTGCGGAAATCCCTTCGGATACCACCTATCTGTGGCATGTCGGACTCGAACCGACTAAAACCGCACGCCGTCTCGTGTACTAATAGCCGGGGAACCAGGTATACCCTAGAAAGGAAGGGGGGAAGGGGCCCCCGTGTGGGAACCCCATGTTCCCTCTGCTCCCTGGAAGCGAGCGCGCTTGCCGCCACCCCGGCTACATACTTCTCCTGTACATTAGCATACATTTAGAAAATAAGCTTACATTTTTATTTTCAGTGAATGATATGGTTTGTCATACTTACAAGCAAGTAAGGTACGATAACAGTGATGGCTGCTACCAGTGGTATGCTAAAAGTCTCTTTGGTGTGAGGATACGACAGCGCTGGATCGTTGCACATGAAGCCGGTGCGACGACTCGGCAGCGCTCCGACTTCGAGTAGGATGCATAATGCTCCAACTGTTGACAAATAACAATATTATGTTAGTTTAATAAACAACTAAAGTAAAATTAATTGGCTTTTGAAATCTGTGTATTGATGTCGGCTTTAGAGTTGTTTAGTATCATTATTATTTCAACTGTGTAAAATTCAGTTAGGATATTCTCCAATTGTGCTCTTGCAAGGCAAAGGTAGCCCATTTGATAAAGTCTTATCATAGGGCGGCAAAGCACTAGTGACTCTTAAGTTTCAGGTGTTCATGGGTAGCGGTAGTTACTTACCATCAGGGCCTCAATTCTGCTATTTTAATAATAATAGACTGTCGATGGAACGTCGTCGGCATAGTTTTGCACTTTACCTATTATACTAACTATGTAAGACCAATGGCCTCCCCATGACTTGTCACTGATAAAAATGTCGTCGATGTCTTTGTGACAGTTTGATAAACGGTACATTTTAAATAATTAAGAAAATGATATATTTAATTGTCCAGCTATATATATGTTGTTTATATCACCATATATCACCATTGAGGTCATCAATGGTGTTATCAACAACATATAAATACCTGGAAAATTCGGAATGTCAATAGACTGTCGATATAGTAATAGAGGTATATTACTATATCGACAGTCTATTGACACTGAATTTATATTAGTAGAATACTGATATTTTGACCGATGTCGATGGCGTTTCAATGGCATCGTAATAGTGTGTCAATGAATGACAGTGGCTTGACGTTAACATGAAATAGCAGAATTGAGTCCCAGGTGACCCGTCGGCTCGTTTGCCATCATGTCCCCATAAAAATATACTTGTACTGTTGGTTTAAAATTGCGGTACTCTTGCTACAACCTCTTTCGTAGAAAATCAACGACCATAATTATCTTTACAACCTTATTTTCCAGTTCCTTTAAATTTTTGTTGAGATTATAACCACAGTAATTAACTGTTACTGGTGTAGCTTCTAGCTATGGATTATTAATTACGGATATTACATCAGCTTATTACTGGTTAGAATAATTACATAAAGATTATCCTTTAGGAAATTGTAAGAACTAAATTGCTTTCACATTTAAACAGAAAATCGAGAAATATAATCATTACTAAGTCCTATTAAGAACCTTCATCATATTTAGGGATAGTTCGTTTGTACTAATACGTTGTATGTTTTTCTTTTATACTAATACGTGAAGGAAACTCTATTTGCTTCTTTTTAAACAAATATAAAGCAAGGAGCATAACACTTTTGAAAACTTAATGTTCATAATTATGTAGAAGTTAATTTTTAAACACTATGTGCTATAAAGTAAAAAAATAATGTAAAACTAGTCCAGTATATTTTGATCCGTAATGCATGATACAAAAGTCTATACAATGACGGTTCAAGTTAAGTGGTGTTTGGAATAAAATAAGATATTCAAAACTGTCAAATCTTGACCGCCAGGCGATTTCGGTATATTTTAATCCGTCGTATGATTAAATCGGTGCCAAAGGACCTTCTAAGTATTAGCACTTAATGTCCCAATTAATATTTAATACTTAAGTTGGTTGTGAAAGTTACATAAATTTAAACTGTAGGTTTTATAATCATAAAAATTTAAAACACATAAAACGATAGTTAATAACGTTTATATCTTTTACCATTGGGAGTGAAGACTATAAAATTAAATATTTTGAAGTCGATAATTTGGTCGTCATGACTAATTTAGGATGAGGTTTTATGTTTCACAAATAAACTTGTCAATGGATAACAATGGTATCGATGAAAAAAAAGGTTTAATATTTTTATGACGCTCGTTAAGTTTGAAGATATTTTTAATGATCAGTCAGAAAGTTTTATTTCGAAAATTCTGGCTTTTTCATGTTCCAATTAAGCTCGAATGAATCACTCCCACCTCCCAATGGAAAACTGCAGGGAACACCAAGTCCGTAGTGATGTGTCACTTTTGTAAATCTGGGTCATGAAATTCATGCGATGCTATAGGGGGAATGCCAACGGTAGTAGGCATTGCTAAACATATTAGTATTACTGATTTAGAATTTACGAAAATATAAGGTTGCATCTGGAAACGCGTTGAAAGTAATGGGATAGTAAAGGGTTAGGCAACTTGTATGTTTTAAATGAATTACGCAGAGAGAGAGAGAGAGAGAGAGAGAGAGAGAGAGAGAGAGAGAGAGAGAGAGAGTGTACACACACTCTTCCTTTCTACCACCAAAGTAATATTTAATAACATGACTATTCATGTTACCTATACTAGTTCACTAACATAGACAAATAAGAACTAAGAGACTTTTTATAACGCTCCTATTTTATTTTTCGTTAGTGAGTGTGGTTGTTAGAACAATCTCATTTCCTGCCTCTATATCGATGTTATATGATGCTTCTTAGACGATATCGTGTCCGAATCTAGAGATTTTCTTTTGGTATCATAGATAACAAACAAAACCACAGAATTATTTATGTAAAGATTTATTCACACAAAAGGTTATTGTTACTAGTTGATGGTCTAATAAATATCACATGTAACGAATTGCTAGTTAACAAAGCAATAATGTAACCAAATCGAATTAGATGTAAAACTGAATAATATAGTGTAGTAGGCCCCGCGGGTCGTCTACTGACACTGGTTGTCATGACTCACAGCCAGGTGGTCGACTTATCATCTATTAACTACCGGCGATAAAAATCTTTGATTTGACAGCTACTGTTGCATTATAATGATGTATGGCGGTGTGCAACATAATAAGGTCCCGTTCACGCTGTTCGTAAAATTGAAGAGTCGAAACTGAGTAAATAAATTCGATTTCTAAAGATGAAGTTTTTTATGTATTGTGTTAAATCGTTTTCTGGCTTTGAAAGCGTTGGATGGTTAAAAATGGAATTATTATAGGCAAGAATCACTAATTTAATATTTCTTCTAACATATTAAAAATAAAAGTATTTTTCATTGGTTGTTCGTTCGTTGTTCGTTCGTGTTTTATTCGCTGCCTGTGCGATTCATTCAATTGTCATAACGTTTCGCATGTTACAGTGATACAGGGAAGGATATATTTTAATTCGTCTTTTATATATGTATCTTTCATCCAAAAAAAAGAGTTCTCTCAATTACTTTTACGCGAGCGAAGCCGCCGGTAAAAGACTTTAGTTTGTAAACAATTTAATAACGACCAATCGTCACTTTTTGAAAACATGATGGATGAACAACAAAATTAATAATAGCTTTTTTGTTACACATAACATGTTGACCATATCTGCTTGTAAGTATACAGAATATTGCACAAGTAATGTAAAGCCACGAACACTCTGACAAGAGTGACACGATTAAAAAGAAGATGAATTTAAGGCGACGCGGTTTGTGTGTTTTCGCCTTAACATAATTACTGATAATAGTTTTTTCTATGTTAATATGAAATTAAAATTATTTTTAGGTAGCTAGAACTAGTTTATAAAACTAGTTCTAGCAAGATAAGTTTAAGATAAGTTTAAGATCGTGCAATGAAAGTCGCAAATTTCGTAGATCCAATATTCAGAAAGTTGTAATGGTTCTATTAAACGGAGCTTAGTAGAGGTCACATTCTTTTGAAAACCACTGATACGATTTCGAAGAAAATGTAGACAGTATGAGTAAAGCCCTAGTGTTTGGACTTCACGACCTACATAACTTGAAAATATAATGCAAGCTAGAAGATTTATGGTGCGTCAATCAGACATTTTTAAAAGCGTCGTTTTAATATCACGTAGGTATCTATTATTATCATACTGAGGGAATAAGTATGGTGAATTGGATGGAGAAGTACTTATACGAAAATATTGACACCGTATTCGTATAAATACTACTTTTAACATTTTGCTAAAGAAAACACTCATTATTTAATCATACACCATTTTATATTTCTGTGAATTAAGTATGCAATAAGATTCGTATACAATTATTATTAAAAAGAAAGAACCACGAAAAACGTTCACGTAGTCTTTATTTTTGTACGCCACTGTGTCCGAGCAGTCGTAATAGACTTCCTAAAACCGTGTCACAAACAACAAAAACATCACAGCGATTTACAGTGTGCATGTGAAGTAATTACTTGACTATTAAATTCCATCTGTGTATATTACATTACAATATTGATCTGATTGCGGTAAAACACCGTCCCGCAGGTGTGCAGCCACATGTAATGTTATATTTGAATAATAGATAATGTAATATTAAGACAATATGTATAGTCGGACCTGGTGGTCTAGTGGCTGGTAATACTTACTGCTAAGGCAGAGATCATGGGTTGTTCGAATTGTCGAGTAAATAAAAAGGTATTCTACGTTATATATCGTATACTAACTATTGCCCGTTGCTCCACCTCGTGTATGTCGGTTATATATAGGTTATATGAGCCTATGTTACTCACTGATAATGTAGCTTAATTTTATTAATAAGCTTAATTTATATTTATAACATAGGTATGGATTGACACAAATGATAACTCCTACGGCATAACTTACGCTTCTTCAAATAAAAAAGATCATAAATCACCCTGAAGCTATTTATCTGTTTTTTAGCTTGAGAATGGCTTGTCATGAAGCTGCATTTTAGCTTGAAAACAGCAGTTTCGCATAAATAACGCTCGCTAACAAAAAAAATAGTCTTATAGTGAACCTTTTCGTTTCTGAAAGTCTATTAAAATAACAATAAGCAATGCATATATATTTATGCCTTACAAGTGCGTGGTAGAAGTTGCTGCACCATGTTTATGGACAAACAATTTGCTAAATGGTTAAGACATTGACCCCTAAAATTTTTGATTCGATCTAGCGCGCCATATTGAATAGATGACGCTGACGTACCTAGAATATGATGTCAGGTCTAAATATACCTAACGAAATGGTACGTAATGGTTATCGAAAAAATAATATAATTGTATGTAATGATTGACGCTGGACAATAGGTGTTAATTTTTTTGAAATTAGCTGGTGTCCGCGTTCTTCGTTCGCGTGGAATTTGAAAAGACCTGCCTTAGTGGGTTC